TTTATATATTCCTTCTGTTGCAATTGACAATGATTTGGTTCAGAGACAAATTCTTGCTCCAGATCTTGTTCAAGAAGCAATTTCGGATCAAGACAATATTACGAAATCCCCCATACACAATCAAGAGATTGTTCCAGAAAAACAAACTCAACAACCTGAAGAATCCACTATAAAAGGGAGAAAAATAATTCTAGATGACTTTACAATCTTTCTCCAAGAAAATAAGGATGACATAAATTGACGAAAGAAGAACTGATTAATCAACTTTCATCAAGCCATGAAAATGAATAATTCTAAAGAGTTGATTGATGTCATGTATAAAGAAATACATTTCATTAGTAACAATGACGTTTAGGAACTCATTATATTGCCTGAGGTGCAAAACTCATTGGTTGTAATTTGATATTTAAAACCAAGAGGGATACGAAGGATAATGTGGAGAGTTATGATACTCGTCCTGTTGCAAATGACTTTGCTCAAAAGGAAGACATTGTCATTAAAGAGATTTTTTCTCCGATTTCTATGAAAGACTCTTTTAGGATAATTATGGCATTTGTGATACATTTTGATTTTAAGTTACACCAGATGGTTTACAAATTATAGAAATCCATCTATAGCTTAAGTTGGTTTCCCGAAATGGTATCAAAAATTTTATCAAATAATTATATCATTGGTTTTGAGATGAATTCAATTGATGATTGTGGATATCAAAAGCTCAGTGGGAGTAAGCATATTTTTGGTATTGTATGTCGATGACATACATATACAACTTGTCTGCAATGATAAAAACTTATTGCGCGAAACCAAGAAATTTCTGTCATGGAATTTTGAAATGAAAAAAATCTTGGTGATACCTCTTTTGTATTAAGGATATAGATACACAAGAATCGTTATTGTTGTATTTTTGGATTACCACAAAAGAGTTGTATCGATAAGGTTCTTAAAAGATTTGAAATGCAGTTATGAAATTCATGTGATACCCCTATTGCTAAGTGAGACAAGTTTAGTCTCAATTAATGCCTCATGAATAAATTTAAAGAAAAAAGGAATATGTAAAATTCTCTATACTTCAGCAATTGAGAATTTAATATATACTCAGATTTATACACATCCGGATATAGCATTCACTGTTGGAATGCTAGGCAGATATTTAATTAACTTTGGGATGAAAATTTGGAAAGCAGCCACGAGGTTATTCAGTACCTATAGAGAA